GAATCTGAGCAGACCGGGCGCGCTTTGTGGATTTGTCAGCTTACTTCCGGGGCCAAACGATACCTCCGAAGCGATTTGCTTCGAAATTTTATGCCATTCTCTCTCGCGATATCTATTACGTATTGCTGCCATTTAATATGTACCTTTACGGTCAAGACAAAATATTTGAGGCGGATCAAGGAGTGCGATAGGCCTCACGATCAGCTAATAATAAATGTCGGTACCATCGTTCACGAAACCTACGTCTGCTCGAAGGTGAGAATTTGCACGAAGTTCCACACCCTTGTACATGTGCAGAATCATTATCAATAGATGACAACAAATAGCAGATTAAGACTCTGCAAGTGTTATAAACACTACAAAATTGGTTTTGCTTAACGTAAATAGCCAATAGTGGGCATTGAGTGTTGCACAGTTTAGGAGTACATGTTTTGCACAGTTTTGTAAATACTTGTCACATAGGACACACTGTCTCGCAAAGGTTTTCATGCTAGCTATTTCACAACATATGCTATAGTTTTACTTGGAATTGGCGATGAACGACATAGTAAGTACTGTTACATTATAGAACAATTGGTGGATATCGTTTCCTTTGCTCTTAGATATTCTTTAATTTGTCACACATTTTTAAAGTTTCAAAATCGTAATCTGAAGGTCCCTCTGTTATAAGTGCAAATTATTCTAGGAATTATATATTTTATTCAAACGGAAATATTGTCAATGTCAGCAGTTGCCTATCACGCAATAAATAATCATATTAGTGCCCATAACACCATGCATTAAGTATTTCAAAATTTCTGTGAAGAGATGGGACCTTATATTGAATTACCTTACTCCATGTGAATCGAAGAGGAAAATGACGAGAGTGGAATAGTGACTTTTTTCCTGAAGAGGCATTTAGAAGCTGGTATGATGAAGTGGAACACTTTTTATGGATAGACAACTTCTTTGTTGCAGTAGTAGTTGCGACGTTCGGTGTAGATCCTAACACCGTTATCAAGCAAATGATACACAACATTTGCACAAGGAGAAATATATACATGGCGGGTATTGGTTTATACAATAGAAGAGGTTGATGTACGGTGTGTTGACATGAGTCTTGTTGTGATAGGAATGATTGAAGCCAGTAGACAAAGGGTGGGTTATTCTTGATTAGGCTTGATTAGTTGATCGTAAGCTGTGGGGATGTAATAACCTTGATCTCTGTTGATTGCCGGGTTGAGTCGTTTGATGTTGATTGCCTCTAAGAGTTTCTTATCTTGTAATCTGACCGGTTGACTTCTAGGATGCTGATGTTGTTCCAAAGTATGGTATGGTTCGGGTGGGCTTCGGTGTGGTCGAAATGGCTGATTTGGAGTCTTTTTTCTTTACAGATGTCTGATGTTCCTTGATTCGTAGGTTTAGGGGCGAAGGGCTTGGGTTGTGGAGCTGATGTTCTTTGCTCTTCTGACTAGGGTGGCGATTATACCTCTCTTGACTTGTAGTGGGTGATTAGATGAGAAGTGAAGATATTGGTATATTGAATAGTGACTTACTGGAATATTGAACAGTGTAAATAAAAGTGGTGCATTTCTTAACTATCAGAACATTATTTGTTTTGATTTTTTTACAACATAAATTAATTACAGGTAGGGGAGGTATATTGATACATTATTAATGTAATAACACAACTATCATTTAATTAATTCACTGGAAATGATAGCAATGTATGTTTTAAGAATCTTGTGTCCTTTAGTAAACGTGGAAAGGTAATCGAATAAATAACAATCAAACCAATTTATTAATGATTATTTAATTGATTGACACATCAGATTGATATGATTTTAAGGCAGAACTAGGCAAACAAACACTATATACATATCATGGAAGAACAATCACTTGGTATTAACTTAGTTAGTTTCCTGCTTTAAGATATGGTTGGGTTATTTTAAATAATATATTTACTAATGAGATAATGCTGAAAGTGATTACTAGTATCATAACAAATAAACATTATTTCAACATCCAAAGAAATTGAAAAAAACAAAGGCAATGTTTTGGTAACACCGCGGTCAGGCATTATTCAGTCCGGGAACAGAATAAATTACAAAATCCTCAGTTGATTTTGTCATGTAACTGGATTGTACATTGAAACATATTTAAGCCAGATTTGATGTAATTCTTCTAAGAAATCATCAGCTTTTGATGATGTTTCCAACATTTGAAGACTGAGCCAAAGTTTTGTTTATTAAGATATTGTTTCTGGACAAATTGGTCAATGTTTGTTGATTTGGAAAATGAGCTTCATATTGAATTGTTTTTCTAAACTTTTTTTATGACTTTACCAAGTTTTGGAACAACTTTGAATATATCAAAATTAGTGTTATATACTCTAAGGATATGTTTTCAGATCAAATAAAGCAAAGAAGAAGCAATAATGTGTAATTTTATTAACAAAAAGCTTTGAACATGTGGCATATTCTTTGCACCTTATGTACATTAGTAGTTATAAGTATCTTTGAAGACATTAATTGTATCTAAATAGGATTCCATAACGAAGTACCCATAGAAAAAATATATTGGATAAGATGATTTGAAAAGGATTGTCTTATGTCCACTGTCATTTTAGATTGGTGTGGAGATGTAAAAACATTTGAAGAGGGAAATTTTACTAAAAATTGCTGCAGATTAGCCGTTGAATATTAGCTTCTGGGTAGGTCCAGACACATCCCTTGAAACATACTGTTTACATGCCCAATCACCTTTTCCAGATTCCCAATTAAGATCAAATAAGTTATGTTGTGATTGATTTGTGTACATTACAGACAAATAAGTGAGTGAGTGAGTGCGTTTAGTTTTACGCAGCACTCAGCAATATTCCAGCTATATGGTGGCGGTCTGTAAATAATCGAGTCTGGACCAGACAATCCAGGGATCAACAGCATGAACATCGATCTACGCCAGTGGGATACGATGACATGTGTCAACCCAGTCAGCGAGCCTGACCACCCGACCTCGTTAGTCGCCTCTTACGACAAGCATGGGTTATTGAAGATCAATATTCTAACCCGGATCTGCACGGGTAGTGGAGTAGTTGTATGGATGACCATATTCAACCTCTTGACGCCTGAGGGTTTCTTGGGATCTGTTTCTGTCCTACACTGAAGCACATGTGATGCCTCCTGAGGCAAGTGAGTTTGGTGAGTATTAAATGGGGATTAAATGTTAATTTAGATAGAACAGAGATATTAGTGTTGAGAAGTGGTGGTAAGCTAAGGAGAACAGAAAAATGGATGTTTGGAAATCCTCAGGTTAAGATATCAATGTTTTATGATTACCTGGGAATCGTAGTTTCTAATAGATTATGTTGGTCTAAAGCAATTAATGTTCTTGTTCAGAAAGGCAATAAGGCTTTATTTTTAGTTAAACACCTACAGTATAAGTTACAAAATATTTCTCCCACTGTTTTATTTAAGATTTGTGATACACAGATAAAACCAATTTTACTTTTTTCCAGTGAGGTATGGTGATTTTCCAAAATTGAACATGTTGAATCTTTTCTCATTAAATTTTGTAAATATGTTTTAGGTGTTGGGTATTGTTTCTCAAATGATGCTGCTTTGGGTGAATGTGGTAGACATGGTCCGTTTATTGATTATCACAAACGATGTATTACATTTTGGTTAAAATAGTTAGCAATTTAAACTGTTAGATATCCAAAACAATGTTATTTATTATGTAAATCTTGAGATGAATGTAATCGTATAACATGGGCATCAAAGCCTAAACACTTACTATTTAGTTATGGCTTTGGTTTAGTGTGGATCACACATGAAGTGGGTGATCAAAACACCTCTATTGTCAATTAAATAGCATTTGTGTGCTATCCCAGAAAGGGAATATAGAAGACTTTTATGTTTAAAGCGTATATGTGAGCTCCCTATAATGGTTGACATTGGTAGACGGTGTGACATTCTCCGCTGTAATAGAATATGTACATTATGTGCGTTAGGTTGTGTAGAAGATGAATATCACTTCCTTCTAAAATGTCCATTGTATGACTATCTCAGATCAAAATATATACCAAGATATTATTGTAATTCACCCACGATGTTAAGGTTTAAAACTCTTCTACCATGTAATTAAATCAATATTTTAATAAATGTTGCAATGTTTATTAAGGAAAGTCTATTTCTCAGAAATTCCCATCGGTCATTATAATGATTATCTTGTATTATGTTGTACATGGGCCGTTGGCCTTTATACCGAATAAAGAAACTGAAAATGGAGTTTGATCGAAAATGCTTTTGTTCACATAGCATAAAATGGGTACAAGGTAGGAAGAGATGGAAATGTGACTACTAACTTTTAACTTTGCCTGACAGGCAGATTGTAGGGAGTTGATCACCAAGCGCACTCTGTTCCTCTGGCGGGAGTAACGCTAAGAGTGCGTATTAAGCGCATTGTAACTATGTACACAGAGTCAACCTAGCACCATAATGTGTCGTGATATTTAACAACGTATTTAATTCTCTAATGTATTGTTAATGTATGTTTATATATCTGGTAATGCGTGGCAGTAGGATATCGTTGAACATGGATTTCCGTAATGATTTCTTTGTATGGAGCTTCAGTGTGACAAATTAATGCACTACATCCAGGAATTCGAGGACACAGTAAACAGTTATTACAAATCATCCATGTTGAGAATATCATTGTTGGGTTTAACACCAGCATGTAATCCCAAACATCGTGATAGGTCCATACATTTCTTTCCGGCATCGACACTTGACAACAACACGATCCCAGTTGTCAAGGCCTTGATAATGACAGAGTAAACGCAATTACACGTTTTATAATAGAGCCCATGTTTACCAAGTATAGATTTAAATTTATATTTATAGAGTACTACTATACGAGCATGGAAGGTACATATGAACCAGTAGTATCCGATCACACCGCAGTGTCTGGCACAGCTTATCCTGGTGTATCCTAGTCAGTGGAACCCCGAGTCAGACACAATGGCAGGGGATGTATGTGACCAGGTATCAAGTGGGAAGTCCCTTCGATCCATTCTGCAAAGATTTGCTGACAGAACATCCATGCAGGGTGTGTCCTTTCTCAGAACCTCCCGGAGTTGGTACGCAAGGGTAATTTGGAGTTCTCTCCTCCTGACGTCTTTGGCAATGCTGTTTTATCACCTGACCTACCTGATACAGATCTACTACAGTTGGCCAAAACACACATCGATGAGCATAGGGTTCAGCCCATTGCCTTTCCCAACTATAACCATCTGCAACACCAACCCCGTGAGGTTGAGCCAAATGAAGAATGTATCCAGGGAACTGAAAATGTTCTTCGAGAAGACCAACCCTAACTATCTCGCTCAAGAACTAGAGAGAGAGAATCGTAAGGTACGTCTATGCACGAACTGTGGGGTAAAAATAAACCCCAAACCATCATCAGTTGAACGTATTAACTTCCTTTCTCTGATACTGGGTCTTTACATATGTGTTGACATTCTTTCGTGATGTAAACACTTGTAAATAGAGTAGCGACATATAATTGGTCTTGTATGTAAAGTTGTGAACGGTATCTGTGGCCTACATGGATTTACCTTTACACTGTTTTAAAGGAGACATATTAACTCACAACATTTTTAAAGATGTTATAAAGATCACACAAAGTATACATTCACACACACAAAATGGTCATATCTGCTGTCATTGTTTTCTGAAAAGTAACAAACAACCGCCCCAATTCGATAGCCATCGCTTAAGCACATTGTAATCGCAGCTTCGTCGAAGACGGGCTGTGACGTAATAGATGCAAGACAACGCCATCTTGCTTTGTGTACAGTGCTTATGTCTAATTGTTTGATCGGTATTCTAGAAGCTGGTGAGTCAAACATGAAGCATACAACTTTATGAAACTTTCTGCTGCTTTATGTATCAACTGTATTCCTCAGTGACGTATTCCCGTCAATGATAGTTGTAATGTCACGCTGCATTGTCCCCATACTTGCTCTCCCACTTCCTGTAGGAGTTCAGAACCGTTGAATTCCGGTGGGCCAGGGTTTGGGGCTACATAGTTGCTGGTGCGTATTGTTGACAATGATAAGAACAGTACGCCCGCGTACCAGCCGGCACGTGCAGTACGTGAACGATATGAAAGTCGGCTGAAAGCATCCCATTCTGCTTCTCTGTTGTCCTGTATCGCATCCCATCTTGTTACTTGTGATATCGGAACCAAAGAGTTAAAACATTTGCGGCATAAACAGACGTTTATGGAGGTCTAACGAAGACATTTGCCGAAGTGCAGCACGTCTTGTCACTTTGACCACCAATTTATCCGCATCATCTTAACACAAATATCAGATCTCCATAAGATCATCCATAAAAATACATACATTATACAGTACGTAAAAATAGCTGACACACTCAACGTGACAGGAGACATTTCTGAATTTGTTTGTGGTTCTGTGACGAATAACCTTGGTGGTTGTCACTGATCATCTGGCCTATCATTGAAGGGTGATTTTAACAAAATGTCGAACAGGCACTGACGTAAGTTCCGAGGTTACTACAGAATATATTGATATTCTCAATATGGTCGAGTCGAGAAATGTGTGTTCATTTCTTCGTTTAATTTATTAGGATATGCATTCAAACACTCCGGCCAATTGCGAAGATTACAATTTTGTACATGATCACAAACAAGGCTCCTATTTTCATTTGTGCTTTGTGATGTTCTGGGGTTTCAGGAATTTCATACTGCATTGATTTCAGAGTCTTGATAGTGCAGTAACATGGTTTCGTCTTCTTGTTGATTGCAAAGCTGGTGTTATAGTGGTTTCACTCTTCCTTCTAATACGATACACATAACAATCAAGATTCGGCAGTGACGTATCACTAACTTTCTGGCCCTCTGATCACTTGATGATCTGGATTATTGCAATCCGCGGTTGCAAGGCAGAGGTATTGCTGTGTGGCATCAAGGATTCAATACTAGCCGTTTTAGTTTAGTTTTTTCGTGTTTGGGAATGGACTATTGGGAATAGCAGCATCAAACTTACGGACGTGTTGCAAGTTTTTGTCTAAAGGTATTACTTACTTCTGGTATTTTCAGACGATTCTCGAAAACACAGCGTCGTTTGGATTAATCAACATTAACTTTACCACCGTGGACTACTTCACGCAGATGTCGAACATTCAAACGCGGGAGCAAGGGAGGGAAATGGGTCTCAATGAAAGTTCAACCTCTGCCAACATTCAGATTGAATTCCAGAACCTGTTTATGAAAGAGACACGGTAAGATTCAGTGGTACAGGCGGTCAGGGTATTATATTTGTAATCGACAGTGCAGGTGATGGTATAGGGTGGTATGGGGAAGCATATGGGGATTCAGATGAGGTCATCTGTGGAAAATATTAACAGGGTAGGTAAGGGTATTTGTTGTACAGGTTTCGAAGGGTGTTTGCGGCACAAACGAAGCGATCTCATTAAGCTCTCTGCTGCACATGTGAAGAGGCCAGATAACCTGCAGTACAGGTACGGGTAAAGGGGTCATCTGAAATGTGGTTAGGATGAGTTCAGCACATGATTCCCCTTTATGTCCATCCTCAATGTTCCCCTTGTGGTTTGCTTGAATTATAACACTCACTCTTAATCACTTCGCCTTCACTGCACTATATATGCTAACAATTATTCATGATATATCAGTGGATCTGCCTATATGCATGTAAATAATATATGAGAAGCTGTTTGCAGGCAGAGGAGGATAGCTATTGGACATCAACTGGACGACATGATGATGGATTGCTCCTTCGCCTGCCAAACATGTAGTCAAAGGTAAATATAAGCAGATACCACGCATTGATATGAGATATCCACCTTCACGGAGCTAACAAAGGTCGGCAGACAGACGACCAAAGTCGATTGCTGAATACAACCATGCCCAGGCAACCCATTTGCACAGGACAAAACAGAGAATTCCACACATTTCGATCAGTTGGATAACCGAAGGCAGCCATTGTAGTGTAACATCCTTTATTGATATTAGAATTATGTCATTTCAGTAGCCTAACATATTCACTGGGGACACGGGGACTCACTCGTGTGAGGCGCTATACGCCGCTATGTGGTGCTGTGTCCTTTTGGCACAACAAACGCTATGGTCGTGGGGTCGACTCCCAGTATGCCCAGGTTATGTGTCCGCTACGCAGGCCTGCATAAAGGTATGGTCGTGGGGTCGACTCCCCGTGTGCCTAGTTCATGTATCCACTATGCAGAGCTGCAAAAAGTTATGGTCATGGGGTCGACTCTCCGTGTGCCCAGGTCACGTGTCCATGCGTGTCCACACCAAACCCATGCTCGGGGGTTTCACCACGGTGATAACGTCCTCAGTTTTTGATGTCCTCAGACATCTGCCAAGCCGAACTACAACTGGAATACCCTTTAATGCGGCGTTTATCAGCACTCACTAACTAACACATTCATCGATCGTCAGTGCGCTAGACACTCCATGAAAGTCAGACAAAATAACTTCCCTTTTTTATTCAGGCATTTCATTAGGAAAACGTCGTCCACATTCGGGAACTGCTACACCTTGGAGCACACGAAGTTCGTCAGCAAGAGGAGTGGTCCGACACATGGTGATTAGTTTACTTCTTCACGAACACATACACATATAATAGAGTGCGCTACTTCAGTTAGATTCAGGGTCATCTCGACACCTTGGTAGAATCACTAAGGTGCATGGTCACTTGGATAGGGATACTGAACACACCAATTTGGGATCTTCTTGATTCCGATGACCCTATATGTTGTGTTCCTGCCCATCTACTGCATCTCTACCTGTCTACAGGTGACCCTGTATGTAGCGTCCTTACCTGTCTTACTAATTACTGTATCGCTACAGGTTTGCAGGTGACCCTGTATGTAGGGCCCCTACCTGTCTTACTATTTACTGCATCTCTCCCGGTCTGCAGGTGACCCTGTATGTAGCGTCCCTACCTGTCTTACTATTTACTGCATCTCTACCGGTCTGCAGGTAACCCTGTATGTAGCATCCCTACCTGTCTTACTAATTACTGTATCGCTACAGGTTTGCAGGTGACCCTGTATGTAGCGTCCTACCTGTCTTACTATTTACTGCATCTCTACCGGTCTGCAGGTAACCCTGTATGTAGCATCCCTTCCTGTCTTACTATTTACCGTATCTTTAACGGTCTGGAGGTGACCCTGTAAGTAGCGTACCTACCTGTCTTAGTATTTACTGCATTTCTCCCGGTCTGCAGGTGACCCTGTATGTAGCGTCCCTACCTGTCTTACTATTTACTGTATCGCTACAGGTTTGCAGGTGACCCTGTATGTAGCGTACCTACCTGTCTTACTATTTACTGCATCTCTCCCGGTCTGCAGGTGACCCTGTATGTAGCGTCCCTACCTGTCTTACTATTTACTGCATCTCTACCGGTCTGGAGGTGACCCTGTATGTAGCGTCCTTACCTGTCTTACTATTTACTGTATCTATACCGGTCTGCAGGTGACCCTGTATGTAGCACCCTACCTGTCTTACTATTTACCGTATCTCTACCGGTCTGCAGGTAACCCTGTATGTAGCGTCCTTACCCGTCTTACTATTTACTGTATCTATACCGGTCTGCATATGACCCTGTATGTAGCGTCCTTACCTGTCTTACTATTTACTGTATCTATACCGGTCTGCATATGACCCTGTATGTAGCGTCCTTACCTGTCTTACTATTTACTGCATCTCTACCGGTCTGCAGGTGACCCTGTATGTAGCGCCCTACCTGTCTTACTATTTACTACATCTCTACCGGTCTGCAGGTGACCCTGTATGTAGCATCCCCACCTGTCTTACTATTTACTGCATCTCTACCGGTCTGCAGGTGACCCTGTATGTAGCGTCCTTACCTGTCTTACTATTTACCGCATCTCTACCGGTCTGCAGGTGACCCTGTATCTTGTGCCCTACCTGTCTTACTATTTACCGTATCTCTACCGGTCTGCAGGTGACCCTGTATGTAGCGTCCCTTCCTGTCTTACTATTTACCGTATCTTTAACGGTCTGGAGGTGACCCTGTAAGTAGCGTACCTACCTGTCTTAGTATTTACTGCATTTCTCCCGGTCTGCAGGTGACCCTGTATGTAGCGTCCCTACCTGTCTTACTATTTACTGTATCGCTACAGGTTTGCAGGTGACCCTGTATGTAGCGTACCTACCTGTCTTACTATTTACTGCATCTCTCCCGGTCTGCAGGTGACCCTGTATGTAGCGTCCCTACCTGTCTTACTAATTACTGTATCGCTACAGGTTTGCAGGTGACCCTGTATGTAGCGTCCTACCTGTCTTACTATTTACTGCATCTCTACCGGTCTGCAGGTAACCCTGTATGTAGCATCCCTTCCTGTCTTACTATTTACCGTATCTTTAACGGTCTGGAGGTGACCCTGTAAGTAGCGTACCTACCTGTCTTAGTATTTACTGCATTTCTCCCGGTCTGCAGGTGACCCTGTATGTAGCGTCCCTACCTGTCTTACTATTAACTGTATCGCTACAGGTTTGCAGGTGACCCTGTATGTAGCGTACCTACCTGTCTTACTATTTACTGCATCTCTCCCGGTCTGCAGGTGACCCTGTATGTAGCGTCCCTACCTGTCTTACTATTTACTGCATCTCTAGCGGTCTGCAGGTGACCCTGTATGTAGCGCCCTACCTGTCTTACTATTTACCGTATCTCTACCGCTTTACGGGTAACCCTGTATGTAGCGTCCTTACCTGTCTTACTATTTTCTGCATCTCTACCAGTCTGCAGGTGACCCTGTATGTAGCGTCCTTACCTGTCTTACTATTTACTGTATCTATACCGGTCTGCATATGACCCTGTATGTAGCGTCCTTACCTGTCTTACTATTTACTGCATCTCTACCGGTCTGCAGGTGACCCTGTATGTAGCGCCCTACCTGTCTTACTATTTACTACATCTCTACCGGTCTGCAGGTGACCCTGTATGTAGCATCCCCACCTGTCTTACTATTTACTGCATCTCTACCGGTCTGCAGGTGACCCTGTATGTAGCGTCCTTACCTGTCTTACTATTTACCGCATCTCTACCGGTCTGCAGGTGACCCTGTATCTTAGCATCCCTACCTGTCTTACTATTTACCGTATCTCTACCGGTCTGCGGGTGACCCTGTATGTAGCGTCCTTCCTGTCTTACTATTTACCGTATCTTTAACGGTCTGGAGGTGACCCTGTAAGTAGCGTATACCTACCTGTCTTAGTATTTACTGCATTTCTCCCGGTCTGCAGGTGACCCTGTATGTAGCGTCCCTACCTGTCTTACTATTTACTGTATCGCTACAGGTTTGCAGGTGACCCTGTATGTAGCGTACCTACCTGTCTTACTATTTACTGCATCTCTCCCGGTCTGCAGGTGACCCTGTATGTAGCGTCCCTACCTGTCTTACTAATTACTGTATCGCTACAGGTTTGCAGGTGACCCTGTATGTAGCGTCCTACCTGTCTTACTATTTACTGCATCTCTACCGGTCTGCAGGTAACCCTGTATGTAGCATCCCTTCCTGTCTTACTATTTACCGTATCTTTAACGGTCTGGAGGTGACCCTGTAAGTAGCGTACCTACCTGTCTTAGTATTTACTGCATTTCTCCCGGTCTGCAGGTGACCCTGTATGTAGCGTCCCTACCTGTCTTACTATTTACTGTATCGCTACAGGTTTGCAGGTGACCCTGTATGTAGCGTACCTACCTGTCTTACTATTTACTGCATCTCTCCCGGTCTGCAGGTGACCCTGTATGTAGCGTCCCTACCTGTCTTACTATTTACTGCATCTCTAGCGGTCTGCAGGTGACCCTGTATGTAGCGCCCTACCTGTCTTACTATTTACCGTATCTCTACCGCTTTACGGGTAACCCTGTATGTAGCGTCCTTACCTGTCTTACTATTTTCTGCATCTCTACCGGTCTGGAGGTGACCCTGTATGTAGCGTCCCTACCTGTCTTACTATTTACTGCATCTCTACCGGTCTGCAGGTGACCCTGTATGTAGTGCCCTACCTGTCTTAGTATTTACTACATCTCTACCGGTCTGGAGGTGACCCTGTATGTAGCGTCCTTACCTGTCTTCTATTTACTGTATCTATACCGGTCTGCATATGACCCTGTATGTAGCGCCCTACCTGTCTTACTATTTACTACATCTCTACCGGTCTGGAGGTGACCCTGTATGTAGCGTCCTTACCTGTCTTACTATTTACTGTATCTATACCGGTCTGCAGGTGACCCTGTATGTAGCACCCTACCTGTCTTACTATTTACCGTATCTCTACCGGTCTGCAGGTAACCCTGTATGTAGCGTCCTTACCCGTCTTACTATTTACTGTATCTATACCGGTCTGCATATGACCCTGTATGTAGCGTCCTTACCTGTCTTACTATTTACTGTATCTATACCGGTCTGCATATGACCCTGTATGTAGCGTCCTTACCTGTCTTACTATTTACTGCATCTCTACCGGTCTGCAGGTGACCCTGTATGTAGCGCCCTACCTGTCTTACTATTTACTACATCTCTACCGGTCTGCAGGTGACCCTGTATGTAGCATCCCCACCTGTCTTACTATTTACTGCATCTCTACCGGTCTGCAGGTGACCCTGTATGTAGCGTCCCTACCTGTCTTACTATTTACCGCATCTCTACCGGTCTGCAGGTGACCCTGTATCTTGTGCCCTACCTGTCTTACTATTTACCGTATCTCTACCGGTCTGCAGGTGACCCTGTATGTAGCGTCCCTACCTGTCTTACTATTTACTTTATCTCTACCGGTCTGCAGGTAACCCTGTATGTAGCGTCCTTACCTGTCTTACTATTTATCGTATCTCTACCTGTCTGGAGGTAACCCTGTATGTAGCGTCCTTACCTGTTTTACTATTTACTTTATCTCTACCTGTCTGCGGGTAACCCTGTATGTAGCATCCTTACCTGTCTTACTATTTACTGCATCTCTACAGGTCTGCGGTTGACTTGTATCTCGTGCCTGTTATATCTCAGTATGTAACTGTATTTGTGTCTGTGCATAGATGAACCTGTAATTGATGTCCTTTCTCAGGTCTGCAACTTATTTTGAACCTGGAGAACTATGAACAACTGGAGGGTATCACGACGGGTAACGGGTTCCAGCTGGTAGTCAACCCCCACGGCATGCTGCCCTTCCCAGTCCATGATGGGATCACCATAGATGCTGGAAAGGAAACGAATATAGCTTTGAAGAAGGTGAGGAAAAGTGTAGTGAGATGTCTGTCTGTCTGTCTGTCTGTCCGTCTGTCTGTCTGTGTGTGTGTGTGTGTGTGTGTGTGTGTGTGTGTGGTGGTTTAACATTGTCATTCTTACACTTATATATCGATGTACGTGTGTCTCCGTGTACTCGTCCAGGTTGATGCTGGTTGGTATACATGTACATGACGTAGGTGTAACGTGGTTATAACGTAGATACTCCACTCCAGTACAATCTTTACCTCGATGACGCGCCAAGAAGATCGAACCACCTACATTTCTTTCCACTAGACCATGAAGGTGAGTGAGTGAGTCTAGTTTTACGCCGCACTCAGCAATATTACAGCCATATGGCGGCCGTCTGTAAATAATCGAGTCTGGACCAGACAAATCAGTGATCAACATCAAGAGCATCGATCTACGCAAATGGGATACGATGACATGTCCCAATCAAACAAAGCGAGCCTGACCACCCGATCCCGTTTGTCGCCTCTTACGACAAGCATGGGTTACTGAAGATACATTCTAACACGGTCTCGGGTCAGACAGCCTTTAACAGGTGTATATAATATACCTTGTTTAGTCCACAGTGTACAGTTTTTGTAACGCCTTGTTTAGCCACAATTGTTCACCTCAATACACAGAGGTCACTTAGGTCACTGTATCAATGTTATAGGTGGCGATCCACCGACTGGGCGCTCCCAAATGGGACTGTGAAGACGGGGAGATGTTTCGACGCAAATACAACATCACCTACTCCGTGCAGGTTGTGCTTTTTAAACTTTACCTGGTTTTAAAGTAAGTAACTGAAATGGGTTTTGGAACAATACTTGAAAGACATTCAAATAAAATGCTGCCCATGCGTGGGAAGAAAAACCAGTATGACCAGGGATTGTTTTGCTTGACCGTTTAATGGTTAATCTTGAACAGGACTAATCTTGGGATTCGAACCCATAATTGTCTGTTTTCAGTTGTATCGAATAGATTACTCAGTCATCATTGATACCAAGTGTCTCCAGTGTTTCAATTTGTGACCGTGTCTCCTTTTGTTGTGTCTCTCGTGCGACTCAATAGATCATCTTCTGCTCGTGTCTGACCTCTCTCGCGTATCTCTATAGATCATCTTCTGCTCGTGTCTCACGTGTCTCGCGTATCTCGATAGATCATCTTCTGCTCGTGTCTCACCTCTCTCGCGTATCTCGATAGATCATCTTCTGCTCGTGTCTCACCACTCTCGCGTATCTCTATAGATCATCTTCTGCTCGTATCTCGCGTATCTCAATAGATCATCTTCTGCTCGTGTCTCACGTGTCTCGCGTATCTCTATAGATCATCTTCTGCTCGTGTCTCACCTCTCTCGCGTATCTCGATAGATCATCTTCTGCTCGTGTCTCACCTCTCTCGCGTATCTCGATAGATCATCTTCTGCTCGTGTCTCACGTGTCTTGCGTATCTCAATAGATCATCTTCTGCTCGTGTCACACCTCTCTCGTGTATCTCGATAGATCATCTTCTGCTCGTGTCTCACCTCTCTCGCGTATCTCAATAGATCATCTTCTGCTCGTGTCTCACGTGTCTCGCGTATATCAAAAGATCATTCTCTGCTCGCGCCTCACATGTCTCTTCCGTGTCCATAGATCATATTCTGTTTGTGTCTCACGTGTCTCCTGTGTTTTGTGTCTCTTGTGTTTCAAAAGATGATCTTCTGCTCGTGTCTCACATGTCTCTTGTATGTCAATATATCATTTTCTGTCGGTGTCTCTGTGACCTGTGTGTCGATGTCTCTTTCTGCTCCCGTGTGTGATATACTGTATTGTTTGTGATATCTTACTATATTGTGTGTGATATCGTTCTATATTCTGTATTCTACAGACTTGCCAGCTGCTGTGTGAGCACGAGATGATCTCCAACACGTGCAAGTGTTATCACGTGTCGGAGGAGGAGATGATCATACTCATGAACACCACTAAAGCTTACCCGGCATGCCGGACTAAGAAACGTATGCCTCCAACAGAAACCGCATATACACATGAGCAATAATAGGTACTCACCATCTGAATCAAAGGGCAACATTTACATTTTACATTTTACCATATGGCACACGTAAAACACGAGCTTCAAACTATATCTTCAAAGCTATTGGTCGCATGTTCATGCGAAGCGAAGGCACTGATAAAACAATTTGATACTCCGAATTTGGTTTTCAAAGTAAATATTCTATCCCAAAAAAGAAACGCATAGGCGTTTTGTATGTTTTGAAATCTATTAATTATCTATTGTGTTCAAACAATTGTAAAAATATGTAACGAAAGTGTTGATAACATGATTTTACACAATTGCACAAGTACAAAATCGTCTTCACCCGAACATGTTGATTTTGATGAGATTTCTTACAAGGATTTAACAACGCATCGCCACAACGCAACAAAAATCACCTTCCAGTTGAAAATGTGCAGCAAAGAGCATGCACTGTCTGGCTATAAAAACCCAGATTACTTACGGAAATCGACATTCGTTTTGAAGGAGTTTCAAGTCAAATCACTACGCCACGTCTTGACGCTGCGACACGGAACATCGCCATTGAAAGAATGCACGCTGGAGACTACCAGTCTTCTGTTGCCAGGCGTCTGAATGTTGGTCGGAGCACGATATCACGGCTTACAACTCGTTACAACCAAAGTGGTATAACAAATTACCGTCCCCGTACAGGCGGACCTCGAGTCACCACTGCAGCCCAAGATCGGTACATCCGGGTACTACATTTGCGTGGTGGTACTGCCACGGGTGAGAGAACAGCAGCCAGGGTGCCGGGACTTCGGAGCATATCCGGTCAAACTGTACGGAACAAGCCCTGAAACGTTGTACTCGAGAATAAAAAGAAGATGTAACCCAGAAAAAAATCTCTATGTTCATCAAATATCATCTTCTATAATGCCAATCAAGCATGTACGGAACAGGTTGAGAGAGATCGGACTGAGAGCCAGGAGACCGGACATCGGGACCGTGCTACGTCGTCACCATCGCGCTCAACGTCTCCGTTATCTAAAATTATCCACTTGGTTGTATAGACATTTCCTTCTTCTAAACTGATGTAAAAATTCATGCACTAATGTCTATTTGTGGACGAGTTATCCATGCTTGAAAATACAACATTTTCGCAACGGATGTCTGGCATATGCGTTTCTTTTTTGGGATAGTATACAAGAACGGGTAGTTTTTTCGTACTTGTATACAAAAGTAGACGGTGCTTATTTAATGCTCATGTGTATATATGTTGGCTTTACAGATCTGATGGTGAAAATTTTGATAGGTTGGTCGAAAAACAGTTCATTTTACGAGGTATTTTAATCATCTTTCTCTGATTTGGGTAATAGTTGGTATTTTTTTAGATTTGTCTAGTCTGCGTCCGTGTACAAATTCGTAATCTGAAATCTAACAGCACCACTTTATGGATCGGTTGGTCTGTTTGTTGATTAGGATTTAACACTATCATATAAAAGTACATTTTAATCCATTATGACGATTTAATATTGGTAAAAATGTTCTGTAATAGCTACACAAACATATCTTGGATTTTTCTTGTTGGTAAAGCTATTTTTAGCGTAATTTACTAGTCACTGTGTACGTGTATGTTTATGCAAAATTAATGTCAAAATATTCTTTTAAAATAATATAATTTAAACGGTAGAAATCAGAGGAACTGTGGACTCCGAAAGTAGAATTGTCATGATTTCTCCATGATATGAGCTTAACTCTTACTATTTGACATAATCCATTGTATCACAGTGCAGGATACCACGTGGATACCTATTACTTGTTTGACCATTTTCTTATCTGTTCATTTGTAGAGGTTCGCTGTGTGCTGGACCAGATGGCATTGTTTGAGACCACGACACAAAACTGCAGTTGTGGGAATCCTTGCAGGTAAGCGGCAGACAGTCTGGTGGATAGATGTGAGCCCCGCAATACAACGACTGGGTATTTTCATAACAGGAACTTTGTTGACATATGTTATTGTATCCCAATTGCGTAGATCGATGCTCATGATTTTGATAACTTGATTGTCTGGTCCAGACTCGATTATTTACAGAAAGCCGCCATATGGCTGGAATACTGCTGAGTGAAAAGTTAAAACAACCAAGCAACCGACTTGCCTGTTTGGTTGCGGAGACTCACGGTTTATAGTAGACATATAAGATCCACCTCTTCTCCCAATTCATCTATTATACACTTGGGGAAGTCACGTATGTTTAGCCTGTCTGAAAATCAGAGCTGATTTTTTAAAGAGTATGTAATAATACAATCTCAATGTGATGAGATGTTTACAAATTATATTTACTCATTATTATTCCTCTCGGGCAAGTGGAGAGGAGTTTGTCGGTGTATATATGTATTAGAGTCAGCGACGTTAGAGAAATAAGATACAAACGTCACAATATGTTGCAGTAAAAATGCGATTATTACCTGAAAATATGTATGAGCATTAAACCATGTAAGGTTTGTTTTCTTCTCAGAGAAACAAAGTACGAGAAGAGGTTATCCTCCCGACAATGGCCTTCGCACAGCTATGCGGTAACAACAACCTCAGCAACATCAACAATATCAATGCATGAATGTTAACCAAACAAAGTGCCATGTCAAATCGGCCCCGGCCAAGCTTTTCAAGGGAAGGATCCCTGAACGACCGCTCCATTGAGTATATATGCAGTGTGTTGAGAAGAAAGGCAACCCTGCCGATTCCCTTGCTTGGGTTAAGTCGGTTGGCCTGAAAAGTGAAATAGAAGGCTTTCTCTTTGCTGACCATGTCCAGTCACTTCCTGGATGTCCATCCATAGTCCGACCTAGAATATGCACAGGGTGTTAAGGAAGTAATATAATTGTTTAGAATAATCCCGCATAGGCCTACTTCATACGGCCACAGACGCATCCTAGCCAACAAACCTGACCTTGTGGGTCTTTTTTATAAAATTGCTGAAATTATTCATATCATACAATTTCTGTCACAGTTAACACCAATGTGACTTACAAAATTCATGAAAAACATGGCTAATATGCGGTCCTCACTTTCGAAATGCAATCCAAGTACCAAGTTGTCCGACTCCAAACTATTATTGCAGCCTTAGGTCAGGTATTTCCCAGTCTGTTGACTTGGGGAGCGTACCCAGCTTTGCTGCCAGGAACACACTCAGCCTTTCTAACTAATCTGGGTTATGCAAAAGGCTTCAGTGTTTGGGAGTCTTCACATTTTCCAAAGGTTCTGGGTGGGTTCCACTAGACAGAAGTCGCTGTTTGGTTTGCGTATAAAGAGAGCAAAGGTCCTCAACTTCTGATGTGGCTGTCCAATCTGCCCGCCAGAATAACATAAAGCCTCATTGCTGCATATATTGTTATTAATCTGTATAATGAACAATTATAATGAACACATTAGGGGTGAAACGGTACGCTCTTATCACGGCACGGTACGTATTGCGGTACAAGGCCTTCGGTTCAGTCCGTTCGGTACGGTATATGCGATGTGATCATAATGCAGAAAATTTACAACAAAAAACAAACTTTACATTGTTTAATAACACGGAGAAAAAAATATACATAATCTTTATTTTGAATGAACAACACTGTCATTTTATGACTAGATAGAAGAACGATACGAAAACCAAAAATACCGAATTTGTGGATTGCATTATGGTATACACAACCGAAGGCAAAATACCGCGGTGTACCGTTTCACCCCTAGAACACATTTACAGTCTGGGGTGCGTGTGAAGGGGACAACGCTGAGGCTATCTAGTCTGATTGTGCCAGGATCACCCGAACCCTCTTTGCTGCATTTTCTTTCAACTGAACGTGTAAAACATAAGATAGGCATTTGAACAGCGCAGTACTCTCAAATGGTATATTGTCTCGCTTTAAATCGTTCTAAATTCACCATGTATAATATTTAAAGTTTTCATGACATTACATATACTCAACAAAATTAGAAACTTGACACCCACATTACATTATCGATAATTATTGGAAGGTGGGTGGGGCAGTCACGTGCAGCGAGTCAGGTGATTACGTGCACTGAAACGCAAGAAGACTGACTGCAAAGCAAGAAAGTTGCAAGTGTATTGAAAAGGCGATCATGTCGAGACTTACAAATCACCAACGTAAGCGTGTCTTTGATGGGCTTCATGCTGAGCAATCAGCAGCAGTTGCACGAGACCTGACTGCAGTCATCAGTCAACACTCAGTGTTAGGACTCGCGTGCAACAGTAAGACATCGATGACGGTCGCCCTGGGGTGCCGTATGTGACGTCAAACCAAGAAGACGTACAAATATTGTTACGTTCCCTCCGCAACAGATTTGTGACTGCAACTTCCACTAGCAGTCAGACCACCAGGAATTAACCGTGTTCCTCAGCTGTCCGACTAGACGACAATACACAGGACCAATCCTGACGTAAATTAAGAACAGTCCGCAGAATTGCCAGACTAAACAAGAGGCAGTGAAACAGGATTGTCTTCCGTGACGAGTCACTTTACACTACGCTTTGCCAATGGCAGGTCACGGGTGTGGCGCAGGTGGGGTTAACGTCATGCACAGTTTTGTATTGGCCAGCGTTTTGGGAACATTTTCTGCGGACGGTCGATCTCAGTTGACTGTCGTCCAGGGGAATCTCATCGCGATACACTATTGGGACCAAGTTTTAACTCCCGTCCTTATGCAATTCATGCATCCAAAGTAGTACTGGATTGATATTTCAACATGACAACGCCACGCCCTATTCCCCAGTTTTGGGAGGGCAACGTTTGACGTTGTAGACGTCATAGACTGGCACTCCCGTTCCCCAGACTGAACATGATCCAACACATTTGGGGTGAGTTGTGAAGACGAGTGCCACATGAGGTACATCAACCAGAATGATGCACGAACTAAGGTCACGCTCGTTATGGTGGTGGTGGTGTAATTGGGTTTAACGTCGTGCTTGAGAATATTTCGCTCATATGACGACGTGCATGCGTGTGTATGTGTATGTGCGGCTGCTTGTACTAGCCCAGACTGAAGCTGGTTTTATAGTGCTAGCCCACTGAGATACCATGCCGCAGTGAAGCATGAATACCCCACTCAGACAAATTATACTGACTCCCGAGCCGACCAGTCCTTGTTGTACCCATTAATGCCGAGCGCCAGGCAGGGACCAACAAGTACCATATTTTAACGTCTTTTGGTATGACGCGGCCGGGATCGAACCCGCGACCTTCCGCTCTCCGGGCGGACGCTCTAACCACTACACCACGCTCGTTATGGACTTCTGTTGAAAAGGTTTTATCAGTGTGAAATTTGCGTTGGGGTGACAAGGGCATTATTTCTATAATTACTTCCCTTGTTTTGTTGTCTGTATCATATCAGTATCATACACATCCATTCTCATAACAATGAACACACTACTTTCATTGTGGGATTCAAATTTAACAAACGGTAAGATTTCAATTTGGTTGAGTATATGTATACTCTTAGCATTATTAGCCTACTGCTTATCTAGTCACTGACCTTGCCCGAGGTGCGCTCTGCATCCCTCTTAACCTGTTTGTTGATGCAATGTCACCTGGTGCTACAGAACGTGCTGAAACAGAAGCGTTGCAAGGTGATCTCCGCTGCCGACTGCGCAAAGCTGAACATCCCTCCAACGGACCTAAGGTAAAGCTAGTTCTGGTGCCTCTTCATATTACAAGCATACTTAGACGTAATAAAGAAATCATGAAATAAATGAATAAACGTCCAGGGGAAAATATTGTTCAAAGGAACCTCGAATTTTTATTCTCGTGAAAAACGTTAAGAGTACTACATACAATATCTTTGTAAAATGAATATTCTGTGCATGTACGTGCATTTGTTTTAAAATGTAGTAATTAGTATTGTCTTGTGATAACAAAATAACAGGTTTACAGTGATTTCTCCTGCCTACAAAACGATATTTGGCCCCAAATTAGGACTGACTGACTGACTGAGTTTAGTTTTACGCCGCTTTTAGCAATATTCGAGCAATATCACGGCGGGGGACACCAGAAATGGGCTTAACACATTGTGCCCATGTGGGGAATCGAACCCGGGTCTTCGGCGTGACGAGCCAACGCTTTAACCACTAGGCTACCCCACCGCCCCTCCCAAATTAGGAACGACAACTGTCATGCCGTAGGTGAAGTCACTTGTATTTCATTTATAACAAGGGTGAAGATTGTTAACCTTCAATGAGTTTAATTGCAGAATGTTAATATATACACATGAGCATTAATCAAACACCATTCACATTTATGTAAATACGAAAACACTGCAGGTTCTTGCATATGCTTTGAAAACCAAAGTTCTGGCTGTAACATATTTTACTCGGATTAATACAAAACAAAACTGAAATTGAAATTTGCAATCTGAGAGGAATTACGACAGACGCAAGTAACGTGAAGAGTGAGTGAGTACAGTTTGACGCCGCTTTCGGTAACGTGTACAAGATAGCGACTTTCACCAGCCTAATGAACTGTACGCCCTGTCCTCAAGTTAGGGTTGCACCACAAAAGACGTTCCTGACTCTATCTCCTTGTGAGGAAGGGACGTCTGATTGGACGACGTAGCCTCCTGTCATGGTACTGGTGGAGAGCCATTTCGTCACTGCCAACGCAGTTCCTAGACATTGGTCATGGGATTGCGTCTGACGAATGGAGAGTCGGGCATTGGTCCTTCACGGTCTTCAAGGTCTTGGACCGGTGGTCACGTGACTAATAACCATGTACTTAGTGATCAAGTTAGCACATATTTTGTGACAGGCCAATAACGTGCTGTCGTGTAGTTTCTGTTGGCGTCTAGCCATTTCAAGAATGCATAGCGTCTTTTAAATCAAGTTAGAAGATACCACAATTAGGGTATCAAAAGCCAATGTGCTTGGTGACTCTGGTTCACGACCCATAGCTTTTAATATATCGTGTGAAGCCTTTTGGTACCAAAATTATAACATCTGCCCTTGAAATTAGATGGTGCTTAATTGATGCTCGTGTGTATGCAATGGTACATACCTGTGTATTTAAGAAAATAGAAATCCTGACATTGTAAACATGTTCTTACTGCGGTCACTTAGTCTCATTCTTTTTCACAATTTCATTTCAAGTTTAAACTTCGCTAAACTGAACATCTTCTACGAAGACCTCAACTACGAAGTAATGAAAGAGGAACCAGATTATGAGGTACACACGAAGGAGAATTTACTGAATATACACAGTTGAAACATGAATTCAACCATGCCATTCTAGGCTGGAATTGAATTCATGGTTTAAATGTATTCCCTTGTCTCTGAAAGACAGACCACAATGTAATGTTAATAACGTCCACGGGTCCAGTGTGTCTAGTTGCTAGTGTTTATTTGAAGTAGGGAGTGAATGACGACACCCGCAATTACCAGTCACACGAAGTAACGCATTCTGTCCCGGAATTACCACTGGGTCGCTTGTATGTACAGGTAATGGATTTAGGCCTCAATCAGCACTATTCCAGCTTTAGAAAGGTATGATGCGGGAATTAGTGAATGACCAGGGGGTATTTTATTAATGCCAGGTGGAAATGAATCTGTTGATGGAGCTCCCACCAAATGAATATTCATCTGTCAGCACCACAACTTTGCTCGTGAGTTACACCAGAGTCTAAATACTTCATGAACCGAAGATACATAAACAACAACTTAAATATGATATCAAACCCCAACTCAGTCACTCATGCCGACCTTTTATGTGTGTTGTCCAGCTGACCCAGTTCGTGTCTGACGTTGGAGGTACCCTTGGCCTCTGGGTTGGATTATCCGTCCTCAGTATATTCGAGCTCGTGCAGCTGCTCCTCGAGTTATCCACGTTTGCCACGTGCAGCGCGTGCAGGGCGAACGGCCCGGATGATGACACCCAGAAGTTGAAGGAGAAAAAGCCACCTGACTTTCTTCCTTCCTACCCATCCAACCCAACCGGTCACATTTCCGGCTTTTCGGGCTACTGAACATGGTATCTTCACTACTGAATGGCCCTGCAACGTTGACACACGTAACTGTCGGTGACGGAAATAAAGATTAACTGAAGCAGTAGGCCTATTCAGTGTTTTTTGTTTTCACTACCATCACATCACATAAGAGAATGTATACTTGTTACTCAAGATTATTAAACCAGCCAGACACACGTTATACACATGTTTAACAATATTCCAGCAATATCACGGCGGGGGACACCAGAAATGGGCTTCGCACATTGAAACCATTTGTAGAATCGAACCAAGGTCTTTGGCGTGACGAGCGAATGCTTAACCACTTGGTTATCCCACCCCTCTTACACAATACATATACAAACATGTTTTTAGATTATAGTGTGCGAGGAGGTAAATTTATATAATAATTGTAAAAATACACAGGAAACACTGACAAACTCCTCGATATAACAACGCACGAGAGAAAATATAAACGCAACACGGTGTAATTACGTAATTAATAATCGTCACGACGACTGTAGTCTCTTCAACATCTTTAAAAAACCTGGAGGCAAGCAGTTTATTTGTTACATAAGTGTTTAAATTCATTATGTAAATTCACTCAGCAGCAAAAAAAACGTCAGTACGAATTCAAAATTAGATAGGCACTGTAATCAAATCATTACAGAAATGGACATAAGCGGATCAAAAATATTTTTTGTGTACAATATCCAGACACATCAATGAATAACTCAGCACAATTCCAAGACATTACGTGAACGTTTGCAGTCCATTCAGACTCTTGACTTCAGTATCTAGTGTGACCATCACGAGCGGCAATAACTGCATCACAGCGTCTATGCATGGAGTGCACCAATCGATTGATGAGGCCATTGACACATGGAACCACACTCTGAGAAAGGCCTGGCGCAATAAATCGGCCGTGTTCGGCCTTGGTATGATATTATTCAGTCTCCACTGAATTTCATCCCAACGATGTTCAATTGGGTTTAAATCAGGACTAAGGGCTGGCCACTGCATAATGTTGACACCGTTCTGCTGTAGGAAGTCCCGTGTAGCTCTGGCAGTATGGGCCCGGGCGTTATCATGCTGGAAAATGATGTTCCGGTGACGGGTCTGAGAGCTTGGTCGATGTAGCGCACCGCTGTGATGCCGCCTCCTCCCTGGACCAAAGTTCTGGAACACCACAGGACCCACCCTCTTGTTCAGGCCTATTCCACCCCATACCATGATGCTTGCACCTCCCCATGAGTCTCTTTCCATAACACATTGGTCTGAGTAACGCTGGCCACGTCGTCGCCATATTCTTGTTCTGCCATCTGCAGTTGATACGCAGTACCGACTCTCATTTGTGAACAGAACAGTTCTCCATTGCCTGTATCGCCAGTTTTGGTGTTGTAGGGCAAACTGTCGACGTTCATGCCGATGACGAGGGGTGAGGATAGGTCCACGGTAAGGTCTACGGCAATTGAGGTTCCCGCTGTTAAGACGTCGGCGTACTGTATCAGTACTGATTGGTCTTCCGTGTGTCACACTGTCTGGCGTGCTGTTTCGGATGCCTGCATGAAGGGATTCTGTACATGCTGTCGCACAACATGGCGGTCTTGTCGTCTTGTGGTCACCCTTGGTCTGCCAGTACGGGGGCGATCATTTGTGGTGTTGGTGGCCCGGAAACGTTGCTGCTGCCTGTAGATGGTCCGAACGTTGACCTGGAAGTGATTGGCAACGGCTTGTGCAGTGTGGCCAGTTTCAAGCTTCAAGTTTTCCTAGCGCCTGGTTCCTCTGAGCTGTCGTGACCGCCTCCGTGGTGTAGTGGTTAGAGCGTCCGCCCGAAGAGCGGAAGGTCGCGGGTTCGATCCCCGACCGCGTCATACGAAAAGACGTTAAAATATGGTACTTGTTGGTCCCCGCCTGGCGCTCGGCATCAATGGGTACAACAAGGACTGGTCGGCTCGGAGTCAGTATAATGTGTCTGAGTGGGGTATTCATGCTTCCTGCGGCATGGTATCTCAGTGGGCTAGCACTATAAAACCAGCATAAGTCTGGGCTAGTACAAGCAGCCGCACATACACATACACACGCATGCACGTCGTCATATGAGCGAAATATTCTCAAGCACGACGTTAAACCCAATTTCACCTCACCTCACCTCACCTCACCTCACCTCTGAGCTGTCGCGAGTCGCGGCATCCTGCTGACGTTGTAATGTGAATGTTTCATCCAGGTGTGGGGGAGGGATGCATTTTATAGGGCTGGTCCTTGTGAACAGCACGTGCAGCATGAGTTGCATGAAAAACATGGAGAACACCGTACCATCTACGAGATCAGGTTGCGTTTTTGAGACCATTTCCCTGAGTTTGGGAAGGAATGTCTTTGCACAGGTATAGTTGGAGATGTTGTCAAAAATGTACAATCAAAACATTAAATGAGTTTACAGTTATCCGTTTCTGCGAATAAAAATTCGAAACTAACGTTTCTTTTGCAGCCTAGTATATATTTCCCTCGTTGCATATGTTGTTCAAATGTGTTGGGTTGTTTTCTTTAACTGTGCAAAAAACTAACTATGTGGATTCTTCACAGAATCTACAGTGAAGTGAAATGCCACCTTTAACTTACCCAACACAGCGTTATATAGACAGAGTTATACTGTTTCGAAGGTGTAATTGTCTACAGCTATCCGCCAATTCAGCGACGTTTCAAGTAGACCAGGGCCCCGTTCCTGAAAGCGATCGTAGCGCAAAGTTGATCGTAACTCCCATACTTTAACATAGACTTACGACTGTTGTAGCGCTACGATCGCTTTGAGGAACGGGGTCCAGAACTAGAAGCATGTGAGTGAGTGAGTTTGGTTTTACGTCACTTCTAGCAATATTCCAGCAGTATCACGGTGGGGGATACCAGAAATGGGCTTTACACATTGTACCCATGTGGGGAATCGAACCCGGGTCCTCGACGAACGAATGCTTAAACCACTAGGTTACTCCCTCGCCCCACTAGAAGCATGTATCGTCTATTCGCTCTTTGACACAAATGAGTATTTGCTTTGTGTTTAGACACAGGGGGAAGGCTGTCTCCTAGTCGGGGTGGGGAGGGGTAGTCTGTTGTCGAAAATACTGGGGGGAAACTTTTAATGGAAGTTTTTAAAGGAAACGTTCAATATACTTGTGACAATGTGTCGTGAGTCATACCTAACCGTAAGCCATGAAACAAACACTAAAATAACACCCCTTGTTACGACGTAAATTGTAATAAAAACGCAAATTGTAATACTTGCAGCAAATTGTAATAAACCTGACGTAAATTGTAATAAAAACGTAAATTGTAATATAAATTGACGTAAATTGTAATACGCAAATTGTAATAAAAATTGACGTAAATTGTAATACTTTTCGTTGCGGTAAAATGTAATAAATATTTACGTAAATTGTAACAACAGTTTTAATCACTCGTGAATACGCGGGTGTTTGTTTTTCGTTGCATTTCATACATCAAATAAGCTTGTTAGCGCGATAACTCAAGAAAGAAATGGTGGATTTTGTTCAAGTTTGGTACCAAGGTATATTGGTGAGATTCACCGACATAAGTGAAATGGAGTGACCTTGAGATAATTTTCAAGGTCACAGCAAAAATCTGAGGGTTTTGCCAATATAAAGATTGTTAGCGCGATAATTGAAGAATTAATTGACAAATCTTAGCTAAATGACGAAAATGATATTCGTCCTGATATATACTCAATATAAACTGTCCTCTGTATCATGTCTTTTCGCAAATATCTTTTGAGGTTTTAATATGTATACATATAAAGTGGGGGTGGGTTTCTAACGGGTATATCTAACACACTTGCATGCATGTAGAGTCGGAGAGGTGGGTGGGTGTTCTAACGGGTATAACTACGAGGGGCGTTCAAATAGTAGTCAGCCTCACCTAGAATATGATACAAATGCAGCTGTTTTTATGTTTTATTTTTCTACATATTATCTGTCAGCCTCAAGCAAATTGGTTTTGCTATGTTGCAGCCTCACGATCCCCATTTTGTGAGACTTTGTATCTTGGCTTGGTACTCCCATAAAACGTAAAATCTGCAATAAAATGCATCTCAAACTTCAGGAAACAAAATATGCTAAGTTTGAGATTGGTAGAAGTCGTCTAGACTCAAACTTAGATATTAAACTGCACAAAAAAGCAATTTGAAACTACAATCGCTTGTTCAAATGAATCCCCATTCGGTTTACTGAAAGAACTCGAGAAAGAAATGATGGATTTTGTTCAAATTTGGTACCAAGGTTTATTGACTGGAGATTGGAGATTTACCGACACCACTTGAATTCTGTGACATTGAGGTCATTTTAAAGGTCTCAGCGAAGGTGTAACAGTTTTGCACATGCCAAGCTTGGTAGCCGCGAACTCAGGAAAGTATTAATAGATTTTGATCCAATTTTATATCAAGGTGTATTGGCGGGATTCCCCCAACACCAATTGATTGGGAAACTTGTGCTCATTTTAAGTTCACAGTGAAAAGTGTTTTGCACATGTCTAACTTTTTAGTGCGAAAGTACAAGACAGAATTAATATGTTTTGCTTAATGGTAGTACCAAGATGCGTTGGGAGTATCGTCTAACGCCAGCCGAATTCAGTGACCTTCGGATTATTTTCAAGGTCACAGCGAGTATTCTTGGATATCTCCAAACCTAATGGATGGAATTTGTTTGCATTTTGGGAGCACCTTTAGAATACAGCACCACAACTTCTCGTGAGGACGATCTCTGCCGTTTGTGAGAACCCGTCGGACGCGAACCCGACTGAGCTACGTCCACACTGTTGCGCAATGTGCAAATTTATCGAGTCATTCCTGTGACGTCACGGAAATGAACCGAAAAAGTGGCGAATAGGTCACGGACAATTACGAATGCTACGGGTAGACTTGGTGTCTCGTCGGACAATTGCCAAATGGATCCGATGCCATTTGGCACACTCGTCCCATTCCGTAAATCTACAAATTAGCGTGTGGCGTGGAATGA